AGGAAACGGTGGTTCGCGAATTTTTTTGCAATTAAATTATTGGCTTGGTGGTAGCTTGAAGTTGGACACGAAAAAGTGTCCGTCCCGTCCTTAATGGGTTAAGAAGTTATTCGGCACTACTGCTATCGGACTACATACTGGCTGAAATTGTCTTCCGCTCACGGCCCACCCCAGTCTGTAGGATTAATATTATTCCCAAACCATCTCTGAATTTAACAGTAAATGCGATATAAATGCTAGATAACAGCAGCTTCTTTTGACGGCAATTACATTAACTTCACGAGATTTTTTAAATTGAAATAGCCGGTATCGCAATTCATTTAAACTTAATTTTCTAAACTGTTTTCAGTACATCGCCGCTATAATCGAAAAATCTGCTCTTTTGATGTCGGTTTTACTACTTTCACTATTATTGAAAACTAATGCTATCACTAAGCACTCCACATTATCGTTGAGTATTTTAATAATTTTTTTCCCTGATTATAAAATGCTGAGGTAGTATAACAACCGCTAAGCGCGTGAATAAATCCTAAGTTTTAATGTTTTAATGTTTTAATTTAATTTAATGTTTTAACATTGTCGAAGCTATTGGGACCGTATGATTTATTGGGAACGTTACCTTTACCCGTTTTCAATAGAAAAATATTTTTATCGCTAGGCTCAAGTAATTATAAAAACCAATATGTCTATGTCTTTGGCTTCTATAACAGCTGGTTTTTTATCGGTTGTTATACTAATAGCAATTTTTATAATTAAGGAATTCGCATCTTCGTTAGCCTGCATTGTTTGATAGCATGCCTACTCTAATTTTATACGCAATTTATCTATAAATCTACTTTTGTTATGTTCATTAAAAAAGAATTTTTCCTAGGGCAGTGTTGCTTGCATTTGCAATTCAAATTAACCATCGTAGATTACTGCGATTGTCTGCACTTTCCGCTCAACACTTTTTGTTGATTTATCTTTACTTGGACAACCGTCGAAAACTGTAAAGCTCTCTTCTGCTTTCTATCTCTTTAATTTCGAATTTTTTGTTTTCCTCATGTGTCATTTATGTTAGGTTCAGAAATGACCTTGGTTAGGTTACAATTAGAATATTTATTCAATACAAATTTGAAGTTACAGACATGAAATAATATCAATAACGCTCGCAATTACAAAAGGTACTTATCTTAACGAAAGTAGACGGTAGTTAGCTCGGCGGTCTGCAGAAGAGAGCTAGCATACAGATTCTCTCCTCATATATATACATTTTTACCTCTCTTTATTCGGAGCACAGGATAAGTGAAGCTTATTCAACCTATAAAATGGACTCTTCTCTCATGTTAGATCCTCTGAAGTGTTAAATATCAATACGAAATAATTGTGCACATCATATTATCATTACACTCAAGATACCTTTATCAAAAATGGACAAGGTATAAAAAGCTAATTCGTATTGAAAATAACTTGTCAACTCGATCTAACCCTTTATATAATAATTATTTGAAAAATTGTGGCAGGGAATTTCGGGGGTGTTGACCGTGCTCCGAGTTCTTCCGCCACAAGGCCTGTTTGGCTCTACCCTCGATTATTTAGGGCGCCAGACCGTCGGCTGATTACGGCGATCGTCGGGGGTAAGGCCAGTAGGTTATCGCGTATCCCGGTCTGCCTAACGGCGACTGCGCAGAGTGGGCAAACGGGGATACGCGTTGTATCCTCACTTCAGGTCTTGGTGTCCAACTCTCCTTCTATTTCTCCTTGACTTGGGTATGCTGGCAGCTCAGGTGATGGCTCCTTGATTCAGGTCGTGAATACGTTCGAAATCGCGCGTATGTTACCTATCGAGTGACCCGAAAATATAGCGAATTAGTGATACCCGTATGTAACCGCTCACGGCTGAAAATCACTAGCACACAGTCGAGGGGGGATATCAAAGTAAATTATATATACATAGATAATTAATCACTTTATTGATATATTAATAATTTACAAGTAAGAGGTCGGAGTGAATAGGGTAGGTAAAATCTGAATAACTGTAAATCCGTAAGGATACAATTTAATTGGAACGTTAATGATTTTCCGGTCGGTTTTCGATTAACAAAGAGAGAGGGTCAGCGGAAATAACTCAGTCGCGAATTTCCTTTGTCTGATCTTACCGCTCCCACTCGGTTTACGAAATGGCGGAAAGATCAGCACAAAATCGAATAAGCACGGTATCTTTATTCGGCTAAATCTACGTTCGTAACGAACTATTAACAAAAAGGTCAGCGCGAATAATTTAACTACTGCTTCGAATTCGTATGAACCTAATACACTCTTTAAATCTAGGAAATGGCGGAAAGGTCAGCGCAAATCCTAAATCACAATTTTCCTTGATTAGTCTTAACGTTCACGTTCAATTTGTGGAATAGCGGGAAAATCAACAACTATATAAGCACGACAATTTTATTCAATTAAACCTATGTTCGCAATAAATAATTAGCGAAAGGTCAGCGCGAATATCCTCGATCTCAATTTTCATGGGTTAATCCTAACGCTCACATTCGGTTTGCGAAATGGCGGGAAGGTCAACACAAATAACTAATCAGGACAATTTTTATTCGATTAAACCTACGTTCGTAATAAATAATTAACGAAAGGTCAGCTCGAATCCTAAATTGCAATTTTTATTCGTAACATCTAACACTTAATGAATAGTTAACGAAAGGTCAGCGCGAATCCTAAATCGCAATTTTCTTTCGTAAACCGAACACTCACTTTATATCTACGGAATGGCGGACAGGTCAGCACGATCCGATAGGCACCGGCGCCGACGGATCCACGCGTCGCGACGACCTACGGCACTGAACGATTTATTCCCGCACTCCGCGATTAAATAAAAATAAGTAGCACTTTGCCTACTTACAATTTTTCTCTTGCGGTATTGGCAAACAAAATTGGCAAAAATATCTGAAAGGCGTCTAGCGCTAATAATTCGGCAGCGAGATTATCTGATAGAGAGGCTCCTTCTATCTAGATATCCAGTGGCAAAATGGACGAGAATCGGCTTCTCGCGGTCAAAGATCGCTTTTCTTCTCCTCTTTCCGAGAAGAAATGTTATTATTGGTCGGTATGCTAATTCGGATATCGGTAGCGCCCTCCGAATATTTTATTATTGGTCCGTATATAAATTAGAAGGATACAGCGCTCTCCTTAACTCTCCTACTTTCGTCATTATTTACCCTCTCTCACCCCCCACTAAGGTAGCTATCGTTAGTTGTTGGAAAAGATCTACCCCTACTCTTATCTATTTGTCTATCCGGACGGAAATCAAATTTTATTCTAATTTGTTCATTGGTCGTGACGTCACTAGCGAATTTTGTCAGAGGTTCAAATTCGGTCAGTTAAATTATTATTTAAACCTAAAGGGGGTAGTTGTCGTTCGCTATCATAATAGGGGTGTCGGTCGCGTGCGAATTTTACACTTCGATTTTTGTTCCATGTTCATTCTTTTCCAATTTATAATTTTAATTTTATTGTCAGAGATACGTATATAATATACGCCGTTTCATTTGTAGCGCCCTCATCTTCGCATTTGCATATTATTCTATCTATTATTTTATATCGTCTGTCTCGCTCGCTCTTGTTTCGTCTATTTCGCTCGCTCTGTATCGCTCGCTCTGTCTCAGTCTGTCTCGCTCGCTCTTGCTTAGTCTGCTTCGCTCGCTCTGTCTCGCTTGCTCTGTCTCAGTCTGTCTCGCTCGCTCGCTCTCAGTCTATATCGGCGCTTCAAGATGGCCGCTCAGTTCCTAGCGCGTACGCCTCGTGTCCTTGTGCCGGTTGTTGGAGCGCCTCCTGGGGCGCTCCCGTGTCGGTTCTGTGATGTTCCCCCGGGTGTTTGTGTGTGGTTGCTGGTATTCGTGTGTGTGGCGCTCAGGATGTCGCCGATGGTGTTCGGCAGCCCGACACAGCTGATTGCCGGCTGCCACTTCATCGGCGATTTTCTGCTCGCCCCAGGAGTGTCAGTGCCTCGGGAGTGTTAGTGTTGGTGTCTGGGAGTGTAACGGATCTGCATGTGTCGTCAACATGCATTTCTGTTGCATTTCCCAGTCAAGTTTTGCATTTTTCTTTTGCCGGTCGGCAACACGTGGTCGGGAGTGTATGTGAGTGAGTGTGTGCGTGCGCTCTCTTTTTATGTGGTGCGCTCCTTTTTTTCTGTCTGCTCTTTGAGCGTCCGTCGGATAGCGTTAGACAAGTTTGTTTCATCCATATCTCCGGCGTGGTCGTTCGGACATAAAAAAGAGTAATTGTTCGGTATAGGGCGCGTTTAACTTTATTTTATACAACCGGTTACGGGGCGGCAAGGGACGGGGATGGCCTTTCTGAGGTGTTGCAAATAATGCAGCACTCAGGAAAGGCCTTGTAATGTACCGCATTACAAAATATTTTTAAAAAATTGAAATCTATAACGATTGGTGGCGTGCACTTTCTCTCCAAGTGTTGGCCAGAAGTTTACCGTTTTATGCAAAAAAACTTCATAATTCTGAAATGAATTGCTGGAGAATTTATGGCCATCTGCAATAAACACATTAAACGTCGACAGTCGCGCGTCAGCGTTAATGAGTTTATTTAAGGGAAAACGCGCGCCCAACTTTCGTTTTTTTTTAATGTCAACCCGCGGTCCCAGCTACCCTTTCCACGGACCTCGTGGGAGGGACTTGCCCTTTTGACTGGATTCTTCCGAGGATAAACGCGAGGTAGTTGGGGCGAGCCCTGGCACTCTAGCCCGAACCCGAGACCAGCTAACAGCTCGGCCTTCTGCCAGCTTCGCGGTTTACGTTCTGCCGAGTCGCGTTACATTTGTAAGTCTTGTTTTGAATTAAATAAAGTTATCCTCACACCAACTAAAAGTTTATTTCACCCTGCGCCCACGGCGACAAATTGGTGACCCCGACGTGATCTGGGTGAAAAAGTGTAACGTGTGGAGTGAATCGCCATTCAAATCAGTGCTACATAAATTCTTTTAAACATCTACAACCATGACGGACGACGTTGCCGTCGCCGCTACTGTTGCTCCGATCGTCAACGTACAAACGCCACGACATTTCCGTGCTCCACCGTTCACGGAAAGCAACGTGAAATTATGGTTTCGGCTCATGGAGGTTGCATTCAAGAATGCCAGCATCACAGATGACGAGGCCAAATACTGCCAATCTGTCGCAGCTTTGACGCCATGTGCCATCGCGAAAGTGGAAGATGTCCTCGTCAACGCACCGAACCAAGGCTTATACGACGATCTGAAGGTGAAGCTGATCGAGCGTTTCACCGAATCAGATAGCGCGCGCGTACGCAAGTTGCTCGAAGGCGAGGAGATGGGAGACCGCAGTCCTTTCGAATTTTACCGGAGCATGAAGACGCACGCGACGTCGTCAACGACTGACGAGTTCATTCTTCAGGTATGGAAGACTCGTCTACCCTTGCAAGTGCAAGCTGTCATGGCAGCTTCCAACGAGTGTAACATGTGCCGCTGACTCGAGCGCGAGAGCGACCGATCCTGCTGGTAGCGCTCGTGAGCCATGTGTTCGGTTGCGAGCGGGCTCGCGAGGCCGTCGTAGGGGGGTGTTGCTTGCGTGACGAAGTAGAGATGTATTTGGAGAAAATGTGTCAAGCAGGAATCATTGAACCAGCTATAAGTCAGTACTGTAATCCCTTTCGAATCGTACGTAAAAGCGACGGTGCGATACGGGTGTGTCTCGATGCAAGAAACCTAAACAAATATTTAGAAGAGGACCACGAAGCACCACCAATAATAACAGACATCATGCAAGTGTTTTTCAAATGTAAATATTTCTCGAAGATAGACATGACGATGGGCTACTGGCAAATTTTACTTGATAAAGAATCACGACCACTGACTGCATTCGTCTTTAAGGGTCGAATGTATCAATTCATACGCGTACCTTTCGGTATAAGCACAGCGAGTAGTGCTTTCATTCGAGCTTTTACAATGGCGTTATCGAACCAGGCTCCCATCATGAACATTTTCGAAAGACAACCAGAGGGAGAAAGCAATACTGAGAAAGAAAACAATCAAGTCAGTGTTCCAAACGGAATAAATATACATAAATACTCAGCAACTTATGTCGATGATTGCGCAATCGGTACTCAAACATTCGAAGAACATATTTTGGTTTTGCAAGTCATTTTCTCAAAATTGATGGCAAATGGTTTTACAATAAATTTAAAAAAATGCAAATTTTTATTAGATAAAATAAAATTCCTAGGATTTATCGTGTCATATAACGGGATAATTCTTGAGCCAGAACGTGTCGCGATAATAACTAATTTTGAAAATCCTAAAAACAAACAACAATTACAGCACATACTTGGAGTATGTAATTATTACCAACGTTTCGCAATAAAACACAACAATTTTATATCACTGTTTCGAGATTTATTAAAAGATAATTCAGAATGGTTATGGACCGAACAACATACTCGCGCCTTTGACGCACTAAAGCGAAATTTTACTCATACTGTTTGCTTGAGTCATGTTATTCCGAACATCCCATTTAAAGTTCAAACAGATGCAAGCAATAGTGGTATAGCAGGTATTTTATATCAAATAGATGAAAATAAGGAACATGGCATAATTTCTCTTGCCAGTAGATGTTTAACACAAACTGGAACAAAATATACAACGACAGAATTAGAGCTTCTAAGCATCGTGTATAGTATTGCGAAATTCAGAAGGTTTTTAGTGGGCCGGACTTTTGAGATCGTAACGGATCATAAAGCGTTAACATTTCTGAATTCGACCGTATTTCACAATTCACGGCTGATAAGATGGTCTCTGTATTTACAGCAATACTTATACACCGTAGTACACTGTAGAGGCAAGGACAATACAGTAGCTGATCTTTTGAGTCGTAATCCCGAAAGTAAATTCAAGGAGTATACACAGGAAACTCTCATGATTTCATCCCTTTATAATTATAGTTTACCAATGATAAAGAGTGACGAAGTATCTTCATTGATAATAATGGCATTGTTTAATGCAGATACCTCATTAAAAAAAATCATGAAGAATACAGCAGAAAAGCAAAATCAAGACCCAGCTTGCCAAAATTTTCTTAAACAACTAAATAATAAAAATAGAAAACACGAACATTTACAGGTTTACGACAATGTATTATTCATGAAAGAGCATAAATCGGAAACATGGCGTATCGTAATACCAAAGGAAATAAAAGACGAAATAGTGAAGCTCACCCATTTTCAATTAGGTCACCCTGGAGTATTCAAAACAGTGTCATATCTAAAAAGATACTATTATTGGCGTACTATTGTTACGTCTCGTGCATCAACTACGAATAGCTAATGAATGAGACGTTCCAATATGTTGACTAGTGGTCGGATATGTCTCACTTATAATAAATATATGTGGAAATGTATGTCTGATAATTGTACTACCTTGATAATCGTAGCCTTTAATTGTTGATAAAATGTAGCAGGCTCTAACTGCTTGTTGAATTGTATGAATGTAGCAGGCTCTAACTGCTTGTTGAATTGAATAAATGTAGCAGGCTCTAACTGCTTGTTGAATTGAATAAATGTAGCAGGCTCTAACTGCTTGTTGAATTGAATAGGATAGGTTGTGAATAATACTTGCACGATATTACTTGTAACAGTCGCGAGTTTATTAAGAAAAATGATCACCAATTGTCGGACCGGTGTGTACGGAGTAAAGATAATTTCTGCTCACCTTTCGGGTGGTTCGTCTTATATACATAAATTTGTGCTTAATAAATCGCTGATGTTTCTTGTGTAGTTGAGTAATTTTCTTTTTGAGTTCATTGTGTGTTGTGTAATGCTGAGTATGGTCTTTGTGTTTTGCTGCTGTATCGTTTTCTGGTGGACGTGTATATAGTTTTGATTTTACGAAATTCGGGATTGCACTTTTAAAGAATGTAAATGAGTAAAGATACGTCTTGAGACGTAACACCTCGGGGCATAAGATATTGCAATTAATGTATTGATTGCAATGGTTGTTTTTCGGTGAAAAGATTATTTCGTTATGTGCATTTCCGAGTTTCGGAAGTGTTGGAATTTGATTGCGTCGGTGGAATCATTTTTCTGCAAGGTGTACAAATTATTTGGTATATAAAGGCTGCGTCGCTTTGATAGTTTACAAAGTGTTCTCTGCGCTTGTGACCAGAATTCAACATGTATGGTTTCTCGAGAAAACGCCGTTCGATGGTTTGCGTAAGTATTTTACAATTTGATTTCTTATTCATTTTTATTATTATCATTATATTTCTTTGTTCTAGTTTGTGGATTGGCAGCATTCTCGTGCAGTAAAGAAGGCCAGACGGGAGGGCTTGCCTTTACCGGTCGCACCTAAGCCTGGGACCCGAAAATATGTGAGAATAGATGTAAGTGTTTTACAATGTATGTTTGTATATTGGTATATTGATATGTCTGATTAATTTGTTTCCTATTTGTTAGTTTCAAAGATGGCAGTTGGTGCGTACTCTGAGGCATTGCGATCGAGTGACGCAGACGGCCTTCTTCTTGGGAGAGTATGGTCCAGACGAGGACACTTGGAATCTGCGCGAATTATTTTTTTATGATTTATTAGTGTATTGCAATGGTTTTCGTCGAGTATGCGTGGAGGTGTTTAGTGAGTTTTATAATGTAATCATAGGTCCTAGTGTAGATCATCGATACAATTGTAATTGTATATAAGTGTAAATGTAAACATAATTGTAATTTTGTAAAAATATATTTTTCTTTTGTTTTTTAGATAAGGAATTTGTTTTTAATTTAGATTCCTAAAGCGGATATCTCGCTTCCCTCCCCGCTTAAAATGTGGCCATGACGTAAAGCATTTGGGGTACTGAACGACATGACAATTAGATTTTTGTTGAAAATAGGTCATGTTTGTATTTGATTATTGTTGATTCGAGAGGTAAGTTTTGTTGAGGAATAGGACAGTGGGTATCAGAGTAGATTTGTATCTTGACGTCTGTGTCGTTCAGGTTTGTGTGTATTGTGTCTAGTTCAATTTCTGCATTTTGTTTATTAATTTTTGTCATACTGTTGTGGTTTTGTCGTCCTAGTATCATTAGCAGGTGGGTTATTGAGCTGAAGAAGGCCCATAGTAGGTTCATAGACCAGCCATAAACCATGTGCAGCGTATATCCTCTGATGATGGTGTCAATCGTCAGTTTTATTATTTGCAGTAATATTAATATCATTATGATTACTGATGAGATTGATCCGCACGTGATTAGTTTGTTGAATATGTGATTCCACGTGCTTTCAGCCAATTTTGTAAGTGTATTTTCTGTAAAGATGTCCTTTGTTGTTCCTTCTCCTGATATTTCTTTAGCTATAATATTTAACAGAGATGCTTTTTCCATGGGGAACATTATTTGTTGTTGTAATTGGTCTAATTCTTGTTGTGAGTATATGCCGCTAGTTGCTAATGAATCTATGGATTCAAATTTCCATTTTATGTTTGTGTTAGGTTTGAGTGCTTGTGGTGGTATTGTTTCCATTGGTTTGGGTGTTAGTTTTATCCATTTGCTGTTTACTTTGTAGTATGTAGGTATTATGGAGTTGCAGTTCATTGGAGTACCTCTTCTTTTGAGGATATGAGTTTTTGGAGTAAGAAACCAGGTTTCGTTGCCTGAAATTACTGGTAATTCATTGTAGCATTCGTTAAGGTGCTGTGCCTTCACTACAGTAGGGGTGCATTTTATGACATGAACTGCTTCTCCTGCGATCCTGGCAATGTATCCAGGTTTCTTCATGATGTTGTATGCGAATTCGTCAGGGGAGAGGGTTGTAAGAGATAGGGAGTTTTGTATTGTTTTCCTCTCTACTTCACACCTATCTGTAATGATTTTTCTGTAAAGATTGTTCAGTTGTCTGCCCAAATGCTTTTCGACATATACAAATTTAGAATTTACGTATGTGAATAAATCTATGTTGACCTTGTTTTTGCTAGTAACAGTGTCTTTATTGAATTTGTATTTGTTGAAATTATTGTTTTCTTCCGCGATAAAGAGTTTTGGGTGTTCTGTTCTTATGAACTCTCTGTAGCATTTCAATATTTTATCTTTGGCTGTTAAAGCAAAGGTCGTGTCGCTAGTATTTACCATGTATATTATGTCGTCATTGTGTGTGTTAAAGTATTTTGTTACTGGACCTTTATATAAAATATCGTAAGTGTTAGTAAAACATTCTTCCTGAGGTAAAATGTCCCAAAATGTATAACCCCCGTCAGTCTACGCAAGTTGTGTCTGAAAATTTACATATCGTTCTTGAGCTTAAATGTAATTTATCGTTACTCAGACAAATTTTCGCATAGGCTTGTATTAATGTGATTTTAATTGTGCCTTGAACAAGTACCTTACTCCATGATCCGAACCTGTCTACGTAGGCTACGCCGCTGCAGCTTCCTGCATCGCCAGCGAAGTCTATGCCTTTGGTTGTTGTGGCGTTTATTTTTAAATCAGCAATCGTATGAAAATTGTCATACTTAAAAATTCTCGTTTCGTGGCATTGTTCATGGCTCAATTCATACAAGTATTCCTGTTCTCCGTTTTGTTCAGGTTCAAGGCGTCCGAATAGTCCGCATTGGTATACTGTCCGATGGATTTCAATTTTGCATTGATGTACTGGAATATTTCTAAATTCGGCTGCTTGGATAAGTTCTATATTTGCTATTGTTGAGTTTCTGGTTTCGGTTTTAAAGTCGCATTCGTCAGCGTCCAGTAGAGAGAATGTTGTGATGTTTGTGTTTGTGGTGCCGCAGTGATATCCAATGTATGCATAAGTAATTTGAAAAAATGTAATGAATAACGTTATTTTTGAATACATGATTTGTTTGTCCTAAAACAGAGAAAGGTTTATCATTTTATATACTTTTGTGTAATATTAATTTATTTGCATGAACTGTATTCGGTTTTCCACCCTTATTTATTGTTACATTATATTTGTCTGTGATGTTTAATATTTCAAAAGGACCCAGGTTTTGATTCTTTTCTAATTTTCCTGGTTTAGGTTCTTTAATGAGCCACACTTGATCTTCTATTTTGAAATTGCAAGGGTTTATGTGGCGATCATAATATTTTTTTGATTTTTCTTTTGCTATTATGAGGTTTTCCCGCGCTAAGCATGCAATATCCTGCATGTTTTGTATAAGTGTGGATAGATAATTATTAAATGTTGGTAATTGTTCTGAAGTTTTTAACGGTTCACTAGATGGTAACCATGGTGGATAAGCGAAGACCAGTTCATGCGGAGTGAATCTATGTGCGCTGTGAACGCTTGTATTGTAATGAAATTGGGCTAATTCTAATAAATTGTCCCATTCAATTTTTTTACTAGAAAAATTTTTTAAATATTCACAAAGGGGGTGATGTGCTCTTTCTAGGGAGCCGTTTGATTGTGGTGAAAATGCGGTGGTTTCTATTTTTGCAAATTTAAATCTACGAGCAATGGCTTTTAAAATTTTACTTGTAAAGTTTTCTCCTCTGTCGGTGAGGACTACTTTTGGTGAACTGAAAATACATATAAATTTTTTAATTAGGGCATCTGCAATTGTTTCTGCCATTTGATCACTGAGTGGAACAACTATTATGAATTTTGAGAGGAGGTCTTGTATAGAAAGAATGTATTTGTTCTGATTATTAGTAACGTTTAGAGGTCCTACTATGTCCATTGCGATTTTGTCGAATGTTTTCATCATTGGCTGTCTAATTTTTATTCTTTTTAGTTTGTTTCTTTGACAAATTTCACAATTTTTAATACGGTTCTCTATATCAGTTTTCAGATTTTCCCAATAGTATTTGTTCTTTATTCTGTTCCATGTTCTGTTGATTCCCGAATGTCCTCCTAGTGCGCTTGAGTGATATTGGTCGAATATATTGTCTCGGTCTGTGAGTTTTACGTAGTCGATGTAATTTAGGCAAATGATAATTTTAGTTTTAGAATTTTTGAATGTTGTTGCTAGAATGTTTTCTATTTCGATCCAGTGTATGTTTTTTAATATTAGGTCTTTTGACTTGCTGAATGTTTTTATTCTCTTGCGAATTATTAATGTTCTTAATAATTTGAAGAGGCTT